GACACAGGTTATCTTTATTATTAATTACAACAATCCCTTTCCTAGCTTTACATTTTTCATCAAAAGTGTTGTACAAGCCTGGTCTTTTGCGGCACCCTGAACCTACAGGGAGATTAACTCGGGTACATTCAACTTGAAACGTGTCCGTGGACTTGATTGATTCAGCGTTTGATTGCACAATTCCCCCAAAAATTTGCCATAAGACATCCTCGTTTACTTCATTTGCAGGGCGAAAAGCAACAAACCCTGGCTCTTTACTTTTTAGGTTAAGTGAACGCAAAGTAAATCCCAATTGGTCGCCCTCCTGACAAACTTCTTTCATTTCATTTACAATTTGACCAAACCCTTGTCTTAGCCAGTCAATCTCACTAGTTTCTGGTGGGGGGTTAGAAAACTTAAAAACAGTATTAATTCCATGAATGCGAAATCTCTTTACATAATTTTCATGTTTATCTAGAATATTTACAGGGACAATTACTTCAACAGAATCTTCTAGAACATTTACAGGTTCATTATTATCAACAGATTCATTGGAATCTACTGGAGCAGAGTCACTTACATCCGTCATCTTGAAGCACTGGGAGCAAAGTGATGCAATAATGGCAGGGTTGCGATAAGGGTTTATATAGGGACAAGAATGACCACAAATGTGGTTATCAAAGGTGACGTGGTACACAAGAGGAAGTGATAGCTGTTGTTTTAGATGATGCAATACCACAAAAGTGGTTATCAAAGGTGGTTATCCGGTTGTGATTTGGTACACAGGAAATGATAGTTGCTATTTTAGATGATGCAATACCACACAGGATGTCGACATTATATTTAATATTATATACTATATAATTATTATATACTAATTATGTTTATTATTTGTTTCAGATGGCTGCCCCTCTCCTCCTCCTCTACTAGCACTAAGTATTTAGTTGTAGAAATATCAAAATATGTATATAATATAAATAGAAATAATATAAGTTTGTATATATAAATAAATTCATATTTAGCTTTCACAGTTGTTTTTATTATTCTTTCAACTAAATATCCAACAAGTTTTAAAATTACATAATCTAATAGGGGGAGGCAATGGAAAAATTGGCGGGAAAGCATATAAGACAGAAGTGAGGTTATGTTACAAGAACACCTAACCTGTAGTTGGCTAGACACTAGTGCTGTAACCTAGTAGAGAATTTTGTAAACTAATACCTCAACTTAGAGTAACATACTGTTAGTAATAAATTATTAAGTAAAAAGTGAGGTTATGTTACATATACAAAGTCACATAAGTGGCTAACAGTAGTTGGTAGCACTAGTGCTGCAACCTAGTAGAGAATTTATAAACTAATACCTCAACTCAGAGTAATCTGTTATGATGAATCTTATATCAAGTTAATCATTATTATAATTATACCATCGACACTGGCACTCCAGTGGTGAATTAACAAAGTGGTTTAGGTAAAAAGTGGGGTTATGTTACACATACAAGAGATCAAACCTTTAGAACTTATATACAAACAGTTAACTATACCAACAAAAAAAAACACCCCTACCGGAAATGATTGGTGATTGGTAAGGATTAAACCTCTAAAACACCCACTACAATACAACACTATACAAAAAACAACCTAAAGTAACTCGTTTAGCATAGATTAGATGTAAGTTTGACATATGATATTTAATAGCCTTTACAAAGACCATTTTTATACTCAGTGGTAAACTTAAGCCTTCTTTCAGCTGTTTTTAACATCAGATACATAAATTATCATTTGTTTCATCACACTATAGCATATATAGAATAACCTCCAATAATATATTAGTTAGCATTAAACCTCTAGTATAGGCTAAAATTAAACCCACAAACCTCCAACCAATATTTACACACCCTGTATATGTAAGTTACAGAGATACACATATACAAATTATAATATCAACATAACCTCCAATACTACTACACATTTAACATTCTTTTATGATCAACGGTAAAATTCCACTTAAGCCCTCTTTCGGCTGATTTATATTTATTATACACTATAAAATAACCTCCAACATTTACCAATTATGATCAACAGTAAGGTTTAAGCATTATACACTATAAAATGTTTTTTTTACAAATCCTACTAGGATAGGATTGAACCCGTGAACCTCTAAACCAAGTGATCAGCTGAAATAAACAGTTGTGATTGGTTAGGATTGAACCCATAAACCTCTAGCATAGGTTAGGATTGAACCAGTAAACCTCAGTTACCATTAGTGGTTGGTTAGATTCGAACCCGTGAACCTCTAACATAGGTTAGATTCGAACCCGTGAACCTCCAATGATAGGTTAGCATTAAACCCATAGACCTCAGTTTAGATTCGAAACCTCTAACATAGGTTAGATTCAAACCCGTGAACCTCCATGTTAAAATCAAATCTCCAATACACACCCTGTATATGCAAGGTATAGGTACAAGGGTATAGGTACCCTGTATAAGGTGTCATTTACCACTATAAACTCTATACCCATAACTACTGTTGTGGCTCATATGGTAACGACTCCAACTACCAACAAAAAGACCGGGGTTCAAAACCCGGTCAGGCCAACACTTTTTATCCATTATTTAATATTTAATATAAACACCTACTGACGTCACGTGGTCAACTAATATCACGTGGTCAACTAATCAGCTGATCAGCTGAGAGTACACCTAGATCATCTCAAGGTCAATTTCTGCCAAGTCGCTGTGCTGACTACTCAATGTATTTCTTCCACTACTTGCCAGCCTTTTTTTCGTAGTTCTTCTGCGATCATTGCTCTTACAGCATGGTGTCTTGCATTACGCAGTAAGGCACCAAAGGGACAAGAGCCAAGGACATGCGGAAGGGTTTCAGGCTCCTTGCAATGTCTGCAAAGGGTTCCATCCTGGCTTCGCCCTGGTACGCTGCGTACTGGTACAACACCAGATATCATTTTTAATGAAGTGATCCATTCTCCTGTAGTAAGGCCATTTTTTAAATAAATCCATGTGTTGCTACTAGGCACTTCTTTGAATAATTCTATTCCTCTACCTTTACATGGTAATTTAGACCAAAGTTCAAATTCTTTCAACTGTAATTTTGATCTCAAATTTAAACCAATTCTTTTTTTCTCTTTAAATTCAAAATCATGTGTAAAAATATCATCAATTTCTATTTGAAGTTTTTGAAGTGACATGGTAATTCTTTGGGGGATGTTTATTAGCTCGTTTACATGGCTATTTTGTACGTTTTTTAGAATTACACACATATTTATATGCTGTATAGAACTTTCCCATTTTGCTCGAATTATTCCAAGACCTTTGAACCTTTGAAGTTTCACATTTACTATAAATTTTCCTCTTTTCTTCATCTACTTCTAGGGGTTGGTTTGATGATGTTTCGAACCTTATTGTTGGATCAATTACAATTCCACTTTTAGATTTTGTATCATAAATTAAAATGTCCAATCTTCTGTTCGATCCACCATCTTCAGTGCAATGTAGTAGTCAGCACAGCGACTTGGCAGAAATTGACCTTGAGATGATCTAGGTGTACTCTCAGCTGGTTTAACTACAGCTGATTAGTTGACCACGTGACATTAGTTGACCACGTGACGTCAGTAGGTGTTTATATTAAATATTAAATAATGGATAAAAAGTGTTGGCCTGACCGGGTTTCGAACCCCGGTCTTTTTGTTGGTAGTTGGAGTCGTTACCATATGAGCCACAACAGTAGTTATGGGTATAGTGGTAAATGACACCTTATACAGGGTACCTATACACTTGTACCTTGCATATACAGGGTGTGTATTGGAGATTTGATTTTAACATGGAGGTTCACGGGTTCGAATCTAACCTATGTTAGAGGTTCACGGGTTCGAATCTAACCAACCACTAATGGTAACTGAGGTCTATGGGTTCAATCCTATCCTAGTAGGTCTGGAAAAAAACACATTATATAGTGTATAATGCTTAAACCTTACTGTTGATCATAATGGTAAATGTTGGAGGTTATTTTATATAGTGTATAGTGCTTAAACTTTACCGTTGAGCATGTTATGTTGATTTTATAATTTGTACATGTGTATCTCTGTAACTTACATATACAGGGTGTGTTAATATTGGTTGGAGGTTCACGGGTTCGAATCTAACCAATCACAAAACATGTTATTAGAGGTTCACGGGTTCAATGCCGGATGTAATCTTACCACAGCTGTTTATTTCAGCTGATCACTTGGTTTAGAGGTTCACGGGTTTAATCCTATCTCAGTAGGTTTTATAAAAAAACACTTTATATAGTGTATAATGCTTAAACCTTACTGTTGATCATAATTGGTAAATGTTGAAGGTTATTTTATAGTGTATAATAAATATAAATCAGCTGAAAGAGGGCTTAAGTGGAATTTTACCGTTGATCATAAAAGAATGTTAAATGTGTAGTAGTATTGGAGGTTATTCTATATATGCTATAGTGTGATGAAACAAATGATAATTGTATCTGATGTTAAAAACAGCTGAAAGAAGGCTTAAGTTTACCACTGAGTATAAAAATGGTCTTTGTAAAGGCTATTAAATATCATATGTCAAACTTACATCTAATCTATGCTAAACGAGTTACTTAGGTTGTTTTTTTTTTGTATAGTGAGAGGTTCATAGGTTTGATCCTTAGTGGGTTATATGAATTTATGTATGTAACCACAAGTGAAACAGGTCTATTATACTAGAGTACTAGTGTTGATGCAGTAATAAATGTAAAAATATATAAGATTTACTATGTATTACTTGTACTATATGTATATCTTGTATAAATGTTTTAGTCTAAGTTGTCAAAGCTTTCTTTAATGTAGCAGTGATTCTTACTATCTTGGTTGATTACGTGACCTCAAACCAATGCTTTGTTAATTAGTAACAACTGATTATATGACATTGGAGCGACCTCTACAGTGTAGCTTGTTTGTGTAGTTCAACACTTGTGTAGTTCAATGTGAGATCAATGTTACAGCTTCTATTATGGGTAAGTGTTAGAAGTAACTATTTATTAAAACTATTACTATTTTGAAATTTGTATTATAATACAAATGTATTAACAATAAAGGGTTTTTGAGGTTAAATAAAAACAGTAGATTTTACTCAGAGAAATATATATTTAGCCTATCGGCTATAAATTTTCTGCAAAAGGGACATCTATATACCCTGTGCGCGCAATTAGGGCACAGGGTATGCCCACATGGTTGTAAAGCAACTGTGGGGGCATTCTCTAGGCAAATTTGACACGTTACCGAATTAATTGGGGGATTTGATGGTCGTGGAACTCGTTCTGATATCATAGTGTCTATTTGGCCGGTAGTCTGCCTCAATACACCTTCTAACGTGTTACGGAGGTCCTCCCATAGAGCTGATATAACTGCTGGCTGTAGTCCACAAGCATTTGAATAACCCTCTAATGTATTTCCGGCTAAGCTAGCTACAGCTAGGAGTTCGGTTCGTAGCGTAGCAATCCTACCAGCTGCAGCTGCAGGTAGGGTAAATTCCGGGTTATTCATAGCCTGAAAGATATTATACAAGAATTAATGTTTTTATCTATTTATATAAAATAGTATAAACCATAAATCAGCTGGTTAGTAAAATTTATTACAGTAGTATATAATAAATCTCTCTCAAGTTGGAGGTAAACAATAGTTAAATTTTGTGTGGAAAGTTTAGTGTAAACATATTAATTTATTTATACTTAATTTCTCTTTAAAGGATACCTACCCTTTGAATTAACCTCCTGCGAAAGGTTTCAAGGCGAGCGCTCTGCCGGCAGCTGCGACATTCACGTGTTTCAGGTATAGTTGAAGTAGAATTCTGAAAATAGAAACATATATATTAAGCTGATTTTTATTTACTTCAATATATAGTTGATTTATCATCAAGGTAATATTATATTTGGATCACTCATTTACTAGTTAATCTGTATCATATAAAACTGGGGTAGCTTTCTCTTCTAATTTAAATTTATTGTTGAAGGAATAAAAATAACTGAATAAACCTTTGTTATAAAAACATATACTACAGATTTATATAAACATTTGTAGATTTAATAATGTAGTGTTTAACTAATATTCTTTCTATAGATTTGTATAGGTGAAATATTTGTTTAAGTACTATATCAAGTCCCAATAAGTGGAAAATAATATGGTTTTATAAACCAGGTGTAGCCCACTGTTGGAATTTAAAACTTATTAGAACTAAAAATATATGTGTTGAAGTAACTTTGTGATTAGTTAACTAATGCAACTCTATTTAAGTGTAACAGTTTATTAGATTAATAGCTATAAAGATTAATAAGTTTGATAAATGTGGTGTTTTATTTTTAAATCTTTAAAAAAGAGATAAATAATAACAGAAAAAATCTAATAGCTGTAATTGTATCTCAACACTTTTATTTGTTGTATATATAAGAAATTTATCATTAGTAACTAAAGCAAGCTTAGGAAGCTAATATGTTTAGTAGAGTTAAAACCATTGAAGTAATTACTTAACTATATCAGCAAAAATAAAAAGTATGTTGAGTTGAATGATTTGATTTTGAGTTTGTTCTTACAGGCTATCAGTATTACACTTATATGTCTTGTAATGTTAAAATACTTATTACAGGTTGTATATGTTGGGGAGATTGTGATGGACCGGCTAATTCATCAGCTGTTGGCCGCTGTCTAGCAACATCAGCTGGAGTATTCACTGTTGAAGGTGTTTGGGATATAGCTGAAGTTGAAGGTATTGTAGGTCTAACGATATTACCTATATCGGAAGATGGCTATTGAAAACAAAATAAGTATTAGTAATAGCTTAGGTAGTAATTACTTGATTACATCAGTAAAAATAAAAAAATGTCGAGTTAATTAAATTGATTTTGTTAAAATACTATAATAATTTGTACTTGTTTATACAAGTATGTTTTATTAAACAGAACCTTACTGTTGAGCATAAAAGAATATTAAATATGTAGTAGTATTGGATGTTTATAATAAATGTGGAACAAACGATAATTTATCTATCTGATGTTAAAAACAGCTAAAAGAGGGCTTAACTTTATCATTAAAAGCTACTAAATATAGTAGGTTTGACTTGAAGGTGGTTGATAATTATCTAACTTCTTTGGTAATTATCTAACTACATTAGTAAAATAAAAAGTATGTTGAGTTGAATGATTTGATTTTGAGTTTGTTCTTACAGGCTATTAGTATAACACTTATATGTCTTGTAATGTTAAAATACTTACTACAGGTTGTACTCGTCTGGAAGGTTGGGATGGTCCAGCTAATTCATCAGCTGTTGCTGTCTGCTGTCTAGCAACACCAGCTGGGGTATTCACTGTTGAAGGTGTCTGGGATATAGCTGAAGTTGAAGGTATTGTAGGTCTAACGATATTACCTATATCGGAAGATGGCTATTGAAAACAAAATAAGTATTAGTAATAGCTTAGGTAGTAATTACTTGATTACATCAGTAAAAATAAAAAAATGTCGAGTTAATTAAATTGATTTTGTTAAAATACTATAATAATTTGTACTTGTTTATACAAGTATGTTTTATTAAACAGAACCTTACTGTTGAGCATAAAAGAATATTAAATATGTAGTAGTATTGGATGTTTATAATAAATGTGGAACAAACGATAATTTATCTATCTGATGTTAAAAACAGCTAAAAGAGGGCTTAACTTTATCATTAAAAGCTACTAAATATAGTAGGTTTGACTTGAAGGTGGTTGATAATTATCTAACTTCTTTGGTAATTATCTAACTACATTAGTAAAATAAAAAGAATGTTGAGTTGAATGATTTGATTTTGAGTTTGTTCTTACAGGCTATTAGTATTACACTTATATGTCTTGTAATGTTAAAATACTTACTACAGGTTGTACTCGTCTGGAAGGTTGGGATGGTCCAGCTAATTCATCAGCTGTTGCTGTCTGCTGTCTAGCAACACCAGCTGGGGTATTCACTGTTGAAGGTGTCTGGGATATAGCTGAAGTTGAAGGTATTGTAGGTCTAACGATATTACCTATATCGGAAGATGGCTATTGAAAACAAAATAAGTATTAGTAATAGCTTAGGTAGTAATTACTTGATTACATCAGTAAAAATAAAAAAATGTCGAGTTAATTAAATTGATTTTGTTAAAATACTATAATAATTTGTACTTGTTTATACAAGTATGTTTTATTAAACAGAACCTTACTGTTGAGCATAAAAGAATATTAAATATGTAGTAGTATTGGATGTTTATAATAAATGTGGAACAAACGATAATTTATCTATCTGATGTTAAAAACAGCTAAAAGAGGGCTTAACTTTATCATTAAAAGCTACTAAATATAGTAGGTTTGACTTGAAGTTGGTTGATAATTATCTAACTTCTTTGGTAATTATCTAACTACATTAGTAAAATAAAAAGTATGTTGAGTTGAATGATTTGATTTTGAGTTTGTTCTTACAGGCTATTAGTATTACACTTATATGTCTTGTAATGTTAAAATACTTACTACAGGTTGTACTCGTCTGGAAGGTTGGGATGGTCCAGCTAATTCATCAGCTGTTGCTGTCTGCTGTCTAGCAACACCAGCTGGGGTATTCACTGTTGAAGGTGTCTGGGATATAGCTGAAGTTGAAGGTATTGTAGGTCTAACGATATTACCTATATCGGAAGATGGCTATTGAAAACAAAATAAGTATTAGTAATAGCTTAGGTAGTAATTACTTGATTACATCAGTAAAAAAAAAAAAATGTCGAGTTAATTAAATTGATTTTGTTAAAATACTATAATAATTTGTACTTGTTTCTACATGTATGTTTTATTAAACAGAACCTTACTGTTGAGCATAAAAGAATATTAAATATGTAGTAGTATTGGATGTTTATAATAAATGTGGAACAAACGATAATTTATCTATCTGATGTTAAAAACAGCTAAAAGAGGGCTTAACTTTATCATTAAAAGCTACTAAATATAGTAGGTTTGACTTGAAGGTGGTTGATAATTATCTAACTTCTTTGGTAATTATCTAACTACATCAGTAAAAATAAAAAAATGTCGAGTTAATTAAATTGATTTTGAGTTTGTTCTTACAGGCTATTAGTATTACACTTATATGTCTTGTAATGTTAAAATACTTACTACAGGTTGTACTCGTCTGGAAGGTTGGGATGGTCCAGCTAATTCAGCAGTCATTGCTCGCCGCATTGCAACATTAGCTCGTGTATTAGACGACGACCTATCTACAGATAGCCAAATTCCATCGGTTGAGGATGCCTGGGCTACAGCTGAAGTTGAAGGTATTGAATGAGGTGTAATAGGAGGTACTACTAATGAGGGTCTAACAACAGAAACTATTGTTGGTGAGAGCTGTTGAAAATAAAATGAGTATTAGTAATAGGCGGGGTGTTATTAAAATAATATTAAATTGTTTAGGTAATGCTACCTACATGTTCTGATGAAAACATTCGTAGAAAACTTGAAGGTTCCAGTATTATCATATTTGTAATTTCTTCATGTGGAAATCCAGAAATAGGGATTGAAGCTGAAGGGATGTTTGTTAGGTCCCTCTCATAAAACACACCATCTCTCTGAAACAAATAGTTTAAAATGTAAATAGGTATAAGATTCTCTTAAACTATAAAAATCTTTTTGTCTCTATATAACTCACCATAAGAATTCGTAGAACACAGGTAACATCATTAATCCTTGAAGTTATATAATAATCCTCAACTAACAGCTCCTGCAAAGCTGTTGTATAAAGCTCGCTTACACACCTCTCAGCATAATCTTGGTCTACTTGCCGGAAGTTGGTGGGTATAGCAAGTCTAGCTATAACTTCTTCCTGAAACACAATCTTAGCTAAATAATGATATACAGTATAAACATATATAATATAAATTATATTTTAATATTGTTTTAAAAATATTTAAAATGTATTTTACCGAAAAAATGTGAAGAACTATCCCTCTTGTGTGTACGAACCAAAGGCCAAAGTTATTTGATCTGTTAATCTGAAACATAAAATGGTTATAATATAATCCTAGTAAATATTTGTTGTATTGTTTTTGCTTGTATATTTTTGGACTTTTTAAATACTTCTTTTAAAATATTTCTTACTGAGTCTCCACGGGGTAAAAGCACTCGTTCTGTATTTAGCCGCCTACGTCTAGTGGGTGGTGGTGAAGAACTCTCAGATATCTGTAAAAATAAAGCTTATTAAAAATAGAATAATAATAACTAACTGTTAGTTTAACTATTATTGAAATCAACTCATCTGTTGGTTGCTAGACTTTTTTAAAATTACAACCTTAAACTAAAATTAAAGTTTTAATATTTTTTATCATAAAACTCTGTTACATACCTAGGATTATTTAATATCTAAGATATGTATTATATAAGGAAAACTATAACTTACATTATTTATAGCTCTTCTTTGTTCATTTTGTCTACTCTGTAAATAGAAGGAAATAATATTATTACCCTATTTGAACTAGTATTATTATATAACTCTAAAAGAATTTTTTGTCAAAACATTTTGTTGGTTAGGAATATCTGTGTAGTCTAAATATATACACCTGTGTGTTTAATCATGCTTAACATTATATGTTGTAGCTTTCTGAAATTATAAGGCTCTCTTATAAATAAAAATTAAATCACAAACTATGATCAAGTATATATATATATAGTATAGTTGAGATAAATAGAACTTGTTTGAAATGTAGAACTTTGTGATTGGTTTGTAATAGAAAAAAAGCTATTAAAATAAGTAGAATTTAAAATCTTGTTTAACAAACTCTAACTAATTCTAATCTATAAATATACTTACAGCTGATCTTAGAATATCACGATCATCTTGAAAGAAGGAATCTCTTGAACTCTGACTTGGTGGAACTACAGATCCAGGGCTTGAAGGTGGTGAATCTATGATGCTTAAATTTGGGCTTGATGGTGAACTAGCTGGTGAGTTGTTTTGTATAGGAGTTACTAAATAGTTATAGATGTGATCATTTATGTGTATCCAGTTTGTATTAGCTGTAAAACGCCTTGTTGTTGTTTGCCAAGCCCAAATAGGGTTGTCTTGAAGTGTATACATTCTGATCAATTGCCAATTATATCCATCAATGTTTTCATGTATGATAACTATACAATTAGAGGGACCTGCTCCTTGTATTTGTATTTCATGTATTAGTTGTTGCGCCGTTTGCTAAAAAACAAATAATTAAATTATATAGCTGATTAAAATATAAACAATAATCTAGAAACTTTTAAAACAGCTAGAGCAGAGCCTAAGAGTATAAGACTAGTTTGCAACATATTATTTATATAGATTATAAATATGTTTGTTGCTTAAATTATAAATACTAATAACTTTTAAAGAGTTAACTTAATCACCTCACTATAGTCATCAAAACTAAAAACAAATTCTTAAAGCTCTTGTGTAATTGATTACTGTGTAAAATCTGTCTAAATAAAAGGTTTAGTAAAATATATTTGATTTAGAGTAAAGTTTAAGATATGAGAGGTGACAAAAATACTTAATCTTGATATATTGTAAAAATCTAATTATATATATTCAAGTTATATAGCTTACCCAGGTAATTGGATAAAAGTTGCTTAATACATGTGGCGGGGAGCGAGGCGGTAAAAGCGGGTTAGCTTCTAAAATGAGAAGATGGCCAAGATCGTTTTGAAAAAAACTATCTGTCTCCATAGCAACAAATGGCTGAAAACATAAGTAGAATTAAAAACCTAAGAAGTTGAATTAAACACTTAGATAAGTAGAAGTTTATCTATATAAAGCTTCTACTTACAACAAGAACAGAAGATTCAGCCTCTCTTAACATATCTCTTAAGTGTGAGTTAAGGACAATCCTTTTTGATATAGGTGCTTGCCGAACATTAGGTCTTGCAAGCAGTTGACGTTCTTCATTAAGAGTTATAGGTGCACCATTTCTCTATAAAAAACATATTATGATTAATAAAAAATACTTTTTAAAAGAGACAGATTATCTATATAAATAAAATTAGAGTTTTGTCTGTATATCGGATAAAATTATAAACTTTTTATCTTTTGGTTTTTTGATTTCTGATAACTAGGAAAAAGACTTTGAAATAGTGTTGTATATAGGTGGGAAATTAAATTTTTAAATAAGCATTTTTAGTCAAGATTTAGTATATAATTGATAGATAAAACTGATAGTAAAAATAAAAGTAGGCCTATTATGTTTTATTTGTCACCACTGGTGGTTTAATTTTGTTAAAGTGCATCTCATGTGATAGGATATATTAGGGTTAACTAGTAGATACAGATAATTAATCCTTTTATTGATTATTATATTGGTTTAAAACAAACAACATAAATTAAGTTATATATAATAGTTAGCATATCTAAAAATACATAAACCAACTGTTTTATAAGGTTTTAACTAAATACTATAAAAGTTTTATATTACACAGCTAGTGATTATATATTTTTAAATAAAACCTACCATTAATCGAAGTAAAGTCCAGACAAGATTAGGATATTCTTGTGATGACTCTATGATATGGACTCCAGTTTGTTCGGGAGGGTTACTTATCGACCACATATCTCGAATCCTATTTTGAGCATATTCCTAAAAAACCATACATATATAGATTAAAAATAAAGAATTAGACAAACTACTTCTACTACTATTAGAGGTACTTAAACTACATAGAGACCTACATACCTCAGAAATTGTCCAGAAGCCCGTAGGTATAGGTGGTATTAGGTCTAGATTATCATAGTCTAATGTGACAAAGGAAAGGACATCCCCATGCACATTAATGAAGTAATGTTCCAAGTCAGCATTGTAGGGATATTGATCCAAAAAGGTCTCCAAACCACCGCCCCACTGTAATAACAAATATATATTTATACAAAAGTTATGAATTAACTATCAAATTAAACTATAATTTAGCTCACAGCCCTAATTAACATATAGGCAAAATTTTATGAATATTTAAAGTCAGCTGTTGGTAAAAGTTGGTTCTATGATATACATTAAAATTACCAATAGGGTGCAGTCTATTATATTTATAAAAACAGCTTCAGCATAGACAAAAATATACAATGAGAACTAGTAAAATTGTGTACAGTTAGGTTTTTAAATTTGTGATATCTTTTTAGGTTAAATAATGAAACATTATAGTAAATGTGTATACAACAAATATAAATAAAGATGAATAATAGTTTACTTACAGTTTCCAAAATTGATCGTTCTCTTTCATCTCTTGTATCTCCTTCTATTGTTGCCCTATCCTATAAAAACATATTCATTGATAAAAAAACACTAACAAAGAGCTTTTCCTAATTAAAAATAAATAATTATTTTATAATAAATATATTAAAAAACACAAAGCTACTTTTAATTATTTATCTAAAGTTGTATAATTATATAGTACTACTTACTTGACCATTTGGGGGCAGATTTTCATCAACTGCTTCAGAGCTGATTAGTAGTCTCAATACAAGTAGTATGAAGAATAATAACACCATATTAGCTATGATGAAAACTAACATAACAATAATCCATATAGCAGCTACAGCTTATATATATATGATTGGAGGGAGGGAACATCTGAGTTAACCACATTTTCCACCTCCTTCCTTAGACAGTATTATCTGTCACTATTTCCCCTCCTCTCCAAAGCAATATTATCTGTTACTATCATCATTTTCTAACAAGATGCCTAATGGTGTGTGCTGGAGCTGTCGCCGCTACGTCTTTTGTTGCTCTATTGAAGAGCACTGGGGAGAATGGCTTCCCCTTTGTTGCCAGTACGTATCTTTAAACTTAGTTTTTAAAATTTATTTCTTAAAGGTTTTTAACTTTATACTGATTCTAATACTCTTTTATATGATTTATAGATGCAGCGATATGACAGCAGAGGAGATCCTAACTGTCCATTATGGACAATATAAAGAATATGTGGCAGAATGCAGCCACGAACTGGAAGAGGAGGAAGAAGAAATAGATATAGATGAAGGGATCGAGGCCGATTTAGAAGAAAATTGGTAAATTTATTAAATATATTTTCACTTAGGTGACACAGGTTTAAGTTTATAGTAGGATCATTATTTTATATAACCATATAAAAACATATATAATGTCTAAAGTTTAAATATCACAAATATTTTTAGGTATCCACTTTTATTTTAGGGTCCACTAAATCCCTACACATATATTTTTACATAAAAACATACACTTAACTAATTAACCCACCCCCGACTAAGTTATTTGTCCAGTTAAAACTAAGCAAATTTTAACTTATATTTTTACTAAAAATATTTATCTCTAATTTAAATATCATTAAATTTGACAAACGCTTAGGGTTGCTACAGCAGAGAGTAGTAAAAGTATTTTTAACTTTAATTGTATAAAATGATATAAGCAAACTATAACAGTTTACAATTTTCTCCATAAAAATAACATAGAAGTAACTATTTGGCACACAATAATGTTTTAATCTACTAAATTATTTTTAGGTTAAAAACCTGTTTTACTTTATAAAACTCTTGGTTCAGCTATGTTGGTAGCCTCTAGGGTTATCAAAATAAAATTGGTTCTAGGTCTTATTATAATATATAAGCTTATTTCCTATATAGAAATTTTGCTAAAACCAAAATTTTTATACAACTTTTACTAATTTAAATGATAAAAACTTATTAACAATTAAACTAAGTATTTTAAAACACAATTGTTATACAAATTGTCAAACAGCTACAATAGTTTTAACAATAACTTTCCTTAAAGATGTTTTTTTTTTACATAATAATAAATATAGACTATAATAGGGATCAAGATATATATCATTTTACTTTATTTATATTGAAACTATAATTATAATATCCTACTAAAAAATCAATTTCTTATCTATATTATAAATTTAAAAGTTTGTGTGATTATATATATTACTCTTAAACAACTAAATAGATTAAGCTAAAGTTTAACACAATAATAATATATAGCCTCAAATATATACATATTTTATGAGTATTTAAAGTTAGCTGTTAAATCTATACATTAAAAATTATAAAATTCTCTAATAAGGTATAAGGTATTTATCTTTGTATTTATAAAAACAGCTTCAGCAAAGACAAAAATATATAATATAAACAATAAGTAGGATTGTTAACAATTAGATTTTCAAAATTGTGATATCTTTTTAGGTTAAATAGTAATATTCCAACTAAATTACAAATTAACTTTTGTCCTTCATTAATGCATAACTTGAGTATAACTGCAATACACCTTATATGCTAACCCAAAATAGGTATTTTGTTAGTAAAATAAATCACCGAGATTTGCTTATAAATATTTTATACAATAGTATTATATTTTTAATTCCCCAATAAATTCTCTATAATTTATATATCTCAAGATTTTTTTGTAAAGATTACACAAAATCATATTCGACATTGGTTTTACCACAGATAATAGACCGGATAAAACATGATAATAATTGACCATTTTTATAATTCTTATCTGACCCTATGCCACTAAAGATATCAAAGTCCGTTACAAGAAACCATACATCCTGTTGTACTATCCTCATCGTTATCGAGTACACTTATCACAGCGGATGTGTGTTTTTATTTAGATAACCCTTTCCGCCTGACAAATAATTTATATCTAGTATAGTTTTTCCTTATAAAAATTATATATACACATCTTTTAGCTTTATATTGGATAGGGTTTGAGACTATCCCCTCATTAAGTGAGGCCAAGTTAAACGTTATACAACCTATCCAGTTTATAATATTATATACCAGTTTATAATATTATATAATATTATATTGGTTGATGTCGTAAAACGTCCTCTCCTTTATTTATAAAGCTTTTTTTTGTCAAGTCTATAGATTTAGTTATATAACCCTACCAAAGTTAACATTCAAAGTTTGCGGGCGGTTTAGTTGGCCTCGCCAGTGACTTTCACTCATGGTTTGCGGGCGGTTTAGTTGGCCTCGCCAGTGACCAATAACATTCACACAAATACAAAGAGGGGCACAGGTTCTATCCAATCTGAACCCCTCAGTGTACACACATTCACACAAGTACAAGGCATAGCACAGGTTCTTCTAAATCTGAACTACTCAATGTACACACACTCACACCTTGGTCAGGTTAC